CTCTGTGTGCAATGGTGTTAAACTTCTGCCTATCTTACGGGCCCCCATTAACGTGCTCATAGGATCTGCACCTTCACTGTACCATCCTAATCTTGTACTTGTAACATCATGTTTCCACGATCCATCCGTATAAAAAATAATCTCATTCCTGACCTATCTCCCGCATTATGTACTTTGTGGAACGAGTACTTCTATGTCCCCCGCCTGCGCCATATCCCAGGCATATGCTTCTGCCATTGCAATCTTGACAACCTCTCGTGGGTCTCGGTCTATATTTTTGAATATTTTGTCATTCTATATTTTCCAGATATACCACAATATCCAAGGGTATACCTTCATATCCTCATGATTTGGGAGATTTCAGAATAAATATGCCATATTAGAGTACAATGCTTCCGTTGGAAATCTGTATGAAGGTGTAGGTATTGGCGAGAGCGCACATACTTGGAATGTCGGGGAGCATTCAAATAATGTATGGTTTATGGTTTCCTTATCTGCGCCACATATGCTACATTGAGGATCACAATTGATTCCCCTAGCTTGAAGACGTGCAGTTACCGTTAAGCAGCCAGAAGTTGCTTGCCATATGAAGTGTTTCTGTTTTGGCGGACATTTAACTTTCCACACATTTGCCTGTAAATGACTATTATATGGACCATACCATCGTAGAAATTTCTTATCTGGGTAAAGTTGTGCGGTCAGATATCCCGATTTAACAGTGTATCTTCCTGTCTTTGTGAAATTCCATCCCCATTTATCCTGTTGATTTTCCCGTGTCGTTGCCAGTCCAGTAATTAAAGGGATGTCTTCGGGATCTACCAGTTGCTGAAGTAGTAGTATATTCCACGTTGAGGTTACAGGGTCAATCAATTAATTGACTGTTAGCTCTGGGTAATAATTAAACCTTTTGCATGATGCTGATCTCAGGCGTGAGGATGGAATCCATGGGTCATTCCATACAGAGATAGAATGGTCTGATCCAACTCTTTTAATGAGCCTTTTTTGTACCAAAGATCTAGCTGATGTGATGCTCTTCCATCCAAACGATGGAGAATACGACCGTATCGGGTCTAGCGGTGACCCGTTCCTGAAGTATCACCCATTGAGAACCTTTGCAAAGAGCGAGTTCGGAAATTCTATAAGTCGCCATAATTGTTTCGCCAGGAGAGCTGTATTAAAATCCTATATCACTCGGAAGCCAAGGCCACCTTCAGATTTGGATTTACACAATTTGTTCCAAGCAATCCAATGCATTCCTCGTGTTTGACCGTTTTTACTCCACCAGAATTTGGCTATCGTGCTTGTTTATTTAGTAGTTATGGTTTTTGGTAATCTAAAGCAGGACATGGTATAAGTCGGAACTGCTGTGACCACTGATTGGATGAGAACTTCTTTCCCCCCTCTAGATAACATCTTAGATGTCCAGCAATTTACCCGTTTTTGCTGTCTCTCTAGGATAAAATTAAAAACTTTTGTTTTTGCCCCTCCCAGACTCTGCTGTATCCCCAAATATGTACTCATTACCCTAATATTAGCAATGCCTAATGCATTGTGTAGGGCCTCCGTGTCATCAGTGATACCTTGTGTCCAAATTGAACCGAGGATTTCGTGAAATTTATTTGTTGACCCGAGACTAATTCATATTGCTTCAAAAGATGCAAAAGTACAGTCGCCTCCGCTTGTGTTGCCTTACAGAAAAATAGACTATCATCAGCAAAGAACAACTGCGATACCGTTGGGCTAGCTCGAGCAACCTTCATTCCAGTTATTAGATTATCCTTTTCTGCTTTTTTCAAATTTGCAATTAAAACTTCTGTACAGAGTATGAAAAGATAATGTGATAATGGATCACCCTGTCTAAGTCCCCTCTTTAGTTGAACATTGCCTCTTGGGTTCCCGTTTATTAAAACTTTGTATTGGACTGATTCAATGCACCACATTATTCAAGTAATCCATTTCTCTCTGCGAATCCCAATTTCTTGAGTAAGTGTCTAATGAATGACCATTCCACCCGGTCGTAGGCCTTACTCATATCCGTTTTGACGGCCATAAATTCCTTCTTACATGAATTATTGGTCCGTAGGCCGTGAAATATTTTCTGTGCTATTAGAATATTATCTGATATAAGCCTCCCTGATACGAAGGACGATTGTGTCTCAGAGACCAACCTTGGTAACAATCTTTGCAGCCGTTGACAAAGAACTTTGGATATTGTTTTATATCCTACATTGCAAAGACTTATGGGTCGTAAGTCTGTCATCCGCGTTGGCCGCTCCGTTTTTGGAATAAGACAAATATTCGTCAAATTTAACTGTTTATCAAAGGTCCAGACTCAAGAAATTGGTTCACTTAGTGCACGACATCGTCCTTAATAATATCCCAGGATTTCTGGAAGAATAAAGCAGTCATCCAATCCAGGCCTGGAGCCTTTGTGAGGTGCATCATAAAAAGTGCTTCCTTTACCTCTGTCTCCGTTGCCGGTTTTAAAAGTTCCTCATTTTCGTGGTCCGTTATTTCCGAGTCTATTTTCCCTTAAAATATTCTCAAATTCTGTTGGTAAGGTGGACGTAAATAGGTCTGCGAAATAATCCACTGCGACTTTCTCCACTTTCTTTTCCCCAGTTACCCAAGCATCCTGGCTATCATGTAACCCAACAATTCTGTTTATAATTCTTCGTTGTTTTGTGATAGCATGATAGTATTTTGTATTGAGATCCCCACATTTGTTCCATATATTTTGGCTCTTCTGTTGCCAAAAATCTTTCTCATCCCGATATGCTTCCTTAAGCTCGTGGGTAGTCTCATTGAGCTCATCCTAAGTACGTGTATCATATGTCTGTATTTCCTAAAGTTTGTGTTGGAGTTCGTCAATCTTATCTCTTCCATATGGTTTATTAATTTAGTGCCATTTGGAAATTTCATGCCTGCAAGTTACAATTCCATCCACCAGAGATTGGGGTGTGTGATTATTTTGCACCCGCCAGCCTCGTTTTATGGCATCCATTAACCCTTGCTGACCAATCCATCTTTTATCAAACAGAAATTGATTTTTCCGTTTCATATTTTTTGATTCAATTGTTGCTACTATAGGCCGGTGATCAGAGCCTATCATTCTCAGATATTCCACATATGAAAATGGATATAAATCATGCTTTGCAAGACCTCTATCCAAACGACACCGGATGTTTTGCCCATTCCGTCTACCCTTCCAAGATAAAGTGTTTCCACGATTTGGGAAATCAATTAACCCACAATTGCTAATCAACGTATTAAATCCGACAAAAGAAGACGCTTGCCTAATTAACCCTCCCTGCTTCTCATGGTTTCCCGTTATTTCATTAAAATTGCCAATTAAAAACCGCGGTCCAGTTCTTGTTAAACTTGTCCTTGTTAACCGTTCCCAGACTTGTTCCCTTAATTTTTGAACCGGATCACCATATACGAATGACATATAAATTAATTTTCCTTTAATACAAGCCTCTATATCAATAATCCTTTTATTTGAAAATGGAACTTTTACGTCAAAGTCTTTATTACAAAATAAAGCCAGTCCACCACTGGCACCACACGGATCAACCGTGAACAACAAATCATAACCAAAATGTAATTGAAATTGCTCAACAAAATTAAAACATTGCTTTGTTTCAGAGAGAAAAAGAAAATCCGGTCTGAACTTTCTCCAAATCTCCCTAAGATACTGACAATTCCAACTTAAAACCCGCATTAAACCTCATAATTTTCGCCCTGCCCCTCCAACAGAGCCTCACTTTTCCTCGGTTGCATCATCCCTTATTCTCCTCCACGTTTGGGATCCTTTGGAATCCCCTTCTTCTTTGGCGTGATGCTATGCATTAGCTTCCGTGAGCCACCACCCATAGCAAAGGATGATTCAAAAAGCCTCTTCTTAGCACCAACTATAACCAGAGCCCTCATAATCTCATTTTGCCCTTCGTCCGTCTGTCCTATTCCGCTAAGTGTTGTCCTGTCATCAAGAACAATCATCGCATTACCCACACTCTCAATACCTGGTAATTGAATTTCCACAGGTTCTTCCATAATATCCTCCAAATCTTCCACGTCAAATTCTCCTGAGATGTCGTCCATAAGCCCTTCTTGTTCAAAGTCGATATCGTCGATCTGAGCATCCGCAGTATATCCTGTCTGCTTCTTCTGGTTTCCTGCTTCTATTGTTGGGACCACTATTTCTTATGGTTCCACCATGGTGACACGATCTATCATGTTACCTAGGTCATCTATCCCAAAAGCTGGTTCCTCAAAAACTATCCATTTCCGTATCTTCTTGGCAGAATGTAGAGGAGGACTATCCTTATCACTTCCTCCGAGTTTCTTCTCCATAGTTTCTCTTGGTCCATTATGCTCATCTGTAGAGCGATGGATGCTGCGTGATGTCCCACCAAACCTTTTCCTACCTTCTCTCGGTGGTAAAGGTCAAGAAAACCTCCCCGATATATCCCTATTTGACCTCTGTTGTGTTTCCCCAATACGAGATGATCTCTCCTCCTCATGAAAGTCCACCATCTTGCCTTTGACTTTGGAGGAATCTCCCATCACACGTCTCTGGTTTGTATTATCTTTCACATTTTCCCCAGAGCCTCCGAGTGCTCCTTTGTAGCTCTTTGCTCCCCCATCTTTCTCCTCTATGTAACGCACCGCATCCCTTTTTTCCTTCTTCGGCAGCAGTGAAGGACATTTACTCGATTTGTGACAAAGACTCAAGCACTCCCGGCAATACCCATGTAACCGCTCATACTGTAGGATGACTGTAAATTCTTCCCCGCTATGGAACTCCACGGTTGTTTCAAAGACAATCAGCTTGAAGCCATCAATGATTACTTGTGCTCTTTCCCCATCTAAATCCACTTGTTGTACTGTCCCTATAGCTTGTCCGATACTGCGAAGTGTTGGCTCAGCCCAAAAGTGAAGATGAGCTCCCATCATTCATACCCAAAAGATAATAGCAAAGGGATAATTGATCTCCATCATGGGCTCCCATCTGACCAGGGCAACCATCCACCCGTCATCCACCCGTCAAAATGGAAAGGTTCAATCTGTAGGATTGCCTGAATGTCTTCCTCCTCATCGAAATCGAACTGTAACCTCCCCATACCAAGATCAGCTCCTGCTACACGCTCTTCAACCTTCCAGATCCTTGGTAATATAAACAGTAATGTCTTCATCTCCTGGATCGACGGATTCATACATCGACCAATGAGAGTTCAACTATATCCCTTGATGAGCTCCGTATTATCAAATCGAGGGACTGTGATCTTCAATCGCGGTGCAAGCGATTCCTTTCCTTTGTGTGAGCCCGCGGTGATGTCAAGTTAGTGAAGAACACAATGAATATGGTATACATCTATCGCTATTTTGTTTTATCTCAATCATTGATTTTGTTTTCGTTCACTAACAACTTCATAATATATATTTTTCTCATCAGACGGTGAATGATGTTCTTCTTGGAATGGCTCAAGCAGGTCTTTCAAAATATTTATGTGCAAAATATGGTAAATTTAGGATTCCTTCTCTTTTATTAGTAGTGCTTTCGTTAATTAATGTTTTTAAATAGATGAAAGAAAAAAGTTGTTCGAATGGCTTCTAACGATTTGTAGTCACTGCCAAGAACGAATCCATTTGATCTTTTGAAAATCAGTGTTGCTGAACCACTTTACAATCGTAATATCAGCGACCCGTTCTAATATATTATTTGAGTTTGAATAAATATTTTTTTGATTATTTTGAGTGAATTTTTTAAAAGTTTTTATACTTTTTTTTATTCAATCCTCCAACATCCTTAACTATGAGATAATGATTTTTATTTATTTTTAAAAAACCAATCCTAAAATGCCTTGAAATTATTAAAAATTCATAGGTTAAATGTTTTATTTTAAATAACGGAGACTTTACAAAAAAAAAATTATAGCTTAAATGTTCTATTTTTATAACGTTTCTCAATAACAATAGAATTTAAGAAACATTTACAATTAAGTATTAGATTTGCAGAAGTTTGTCAAACTAATGATACATAGCGTATAAGCCTCTTTTTTTATTTTATATTTTATCAGAAATCATTCCAAATGTCATACTAGTTATAAAATTTTCTTAATAGCAACTACAAATTCTTTAGTTTCAGTACAATCAACTTTTTTTTTTCTCTTGATGTGAGAACAGACTGAAAAGTTGTAACTATTTAGCTACTACAGCATTATATTTGAACTTATTTACTAATAAAGTGATCATCATGCTAGGTTTCCACAATAATGTATTGTTAATACACCCTTAAGAATAGTTCTGATATTTCATAATTACTTACATGTAATGAATAATGCTGTTCATTAAACCATGTTTTCATCCCAAATAATGCTGTTTACCTAATTGCAATTCTAGGTAATGAATAATTGCGGTAAACAGCATTATTTAACTTAGAGTTTTTTTCTCCACAAAGAGAAGATACAAGCAGTCACCAAGGACCAAACAAAGCAAAGCATCAATGCCCAAAGTAAAGTAAACACTACAATAGTACCTCAAACTGAGATAAAAGGATAGATGGGAGCTAACAGGCTCAACCGGAGATAGATGAGAGCTAACGAGCTCAACGGACAAAACCTCTAAATAAGAGCAAACTTTGTTGTCTTGAACGAAGCCACCAAGAGGAGGAATCACAGCCTCTAAAGTCGGTAAGGTGAAGCCGTCAGCAACAACAATTACTGAACGAGAGACTGATAATCTCACGATTTTTGTTCTATAAAGAACTACCTTCGACACAGTGTTCCCTGAAACAATACCACTCAAGGAAAGTGACATATTTGGGATGAAAACAGCCTCCTTAAAGGAGAGATAAGGACTATAAAAATCCAAAACCCGATTCAATGGAAGAAGGCTACGAAGACAAGTAATCTTCCTAAACTGACATTTAAGAATTGAACCTAAAGTATCCATCAACATGAAAACGGGGCAAAACCTGCATACTGCAGTAAAGATCCGCACTGGGGCGGGAATAAAGAAGGCTGAACCATTTGGCAATGGCAGTGAAATGCCCAGACTCCACACATCAGGCCTATCCCATCCAGCTAAGAGTTGTTCCACAATTGGAAAAACAGAAAACAAGGAGTAGGAGCAGACCTGTGCAAGAGGGTGAGCCGGAAAGACAACATGGCGAGGAGATGTAGAGATGGTCTCATGGCTTTCGAGTTGGAGGGGCGGCAAAGGTAAGACATCGAGGCGAGGATATGGAGAGGCAGCATCAGTGATTTCGAGATGGAGAGGCGGTGAGATTGCAGGGCTGCATACTGCAGTAAAGGGGCATCCCTACGCCGAAAACAAGTCCTTAGAGAAAACAAGGCAAGGAGACTCATATACGAGTCGCTGAAAACCCAGATCCAAACAGAGGAGGAGCGTAATCGGCGATTTTAAGGCGGCAGCGAGATCTGAGAGTAGCCCCTCGATGGAGGTTGAGACAGGGAACGAGGCTGAGTTCAGAGGGTCTGGAGGGGCGGGAGGGTCGGGAAGTATGAGAAGAGGGGCCAACTCGAGCAGATCTGGAAGAGAGTCAATCGATGGCGGCTTTGGAGGAGGGGGCAGAAGCAACGGCGTGACGCAAAATAGAACAGACACCATCGAAAACAAGGAAGAAAGGAAGAGGAGGGAGAAAGAAGAGGAGGGAGAAAGAAGAGAGTTCTCGCCGGAGGGCGAGAGGCCCAGCCGACGGCGGCGGCAGCTCAAGTGGAAACCCTAATCGCCCTTTTTTTTCTATTCCGCACATTGTTAAATTTATAACTAGCTTAGAAATAAATATATTTATCTAATGGATACTAGGTAATTGATCCGCACCGTGTGCGACTATAAAATATTTTATATGTTGAATATATAATTAATACTGTATATTAAAAATGCTCTATTTATATGATTAATTATCTATTAATCTTTAATATTATATAAATATTTAATAATAAAAATTAACGATAAATAAAATGAAAAATGTGATAGATCTTAATAAAACATGAATAAAAAAAAATTAATCAAGAATATAAAATGGTTCCTTAAATAAAAAATATAAATATAATAACTAAATAAACTGAAATTAACTATTAAAACATATAAAATAGAGTTTAAAAATATCAAAAGCATAAAATTAAAAAAGATTTTGAAACACTTTTTTATAGACATCGTTCATAGTTTTCTTTTGTATTTTTCTTTCTTTGTCTGTGATAAGAACTTTAAGTCCAGATCTAGACTTAACTCTAGATAATACAACTATTGGGACCAATTTTACCACATCCAAGGAGAATGCGACACTTAGACATTAAACTATCCTAAACACTGACACATGCCATGCTAGCTCGGCCGAACCACTCCCATAAACTATTCTCGGGCAGTTGGCGAGCTTCCCCAAAACATGCATCAATCATTAGTCCATCTGCTTCTCGGATGCGCCGAGCGGAGAAGCCAGGACAATGAGAAAGCTAGTATAAAAGGAGAGACATCACCACATCAGAAAGGGATCGGCTCGGCAGATCCGAAAGCCCTCTCAATGAGGAGATGCGCGACTAAACCGGACTGATTTGCACTGCCGAACAGCATGATCGAGGGAGAACCCCTTGTTCCCCGAGAGAATGCCTACCAGGATAAGTCCTTCTCGACCTGGAACCTTGCCTTTATACTTGCTGATTCTCCCTCTTTCAGTATAAGAACCCCTCTCAAAACACTCGCAAACAGGCAGATGTCTCGATCCCCGGACGAGACTTCTCACCCAAACCCATAGAAACACCATCCTGAGTACTTGTTCCCAGTAGGGCGTTCATTGACTTGGGCGTCGAAAAACCTTCGAGAAAGAAACCCCCTTTCGGTCTTTCCGGAGGCCCGATTGACCTTTTGTGTAGTGTTTACAGGACCGTATACGTCGACGTCCCCATTAGCAGGACCCAGGCAGGCTTCCCCCCGGAATGTCTCGTTGCCTTTCCTCTAGAGGACGAAACTCGGAGGCATGGCTTCGCTCCCCGGACGAATCACACATCCCCACGTGGCATCCCGAAATTTTTTCCCTAACAGTTGGCGCTAGAAGGAAGGGGGATCACCGGCAAGCGTTCCACAAAAGAAGCAAACCACAAGTAAACTATGCGAAAACACAGAAGGCCTGCAAGCTGCAGTTCAACTCAACAAGACTCCAGACTCCAAGACCATCACACGTACTGGCCCAAAAGTCGAGAAGTCAGACCCACTAAACGAAGCAGAATACGAAAGAAGTGCATAAAACACGAAGATATGCGAAGCAAATTGAAGTGCATTAAAAAGGGGATACAGGCAAAAAAACGGCCACCGATCCAAGTTTGAAGTCACAATTTACAAGGGACAAAAGTCTCCAAAAGAAAAGATTGTTTAATTTAGAAACCCGGCGGGTGTAAAGATCCCGCTGGTGAAGAAGAGCCCGCGTCTACAGCGCCTCCTGCCGCCCCTGAAGCATCCCCTCCTCGCGCCCGTTCCATCGGTGCTCCTTCTCAAGCTCCCACCTGAGCATGCAGATCGTTGTCTGGCTGTTCGTGAAATTTTCGGCCGCCATCAACGCCAAGTTCGTCTTGGCCCTAGGAGCAAACCCTTGGTACACCATGTGGGTTTGGCGGAGCGTCTGCACCTCTGAGATACGTGCCTCCAAGCCTCACTGGCTGTTCGTCAGCGTTAGGGTCAAGTGCTCCATCTCCACACTCAGATCCTCCCCCCTCGAGCGGAAGTATGGACCTCTGTGAGTTGGTCTCGGGTTACAAGGAGTTTGGCCTAGAGCTCGCTAATCCTATCAGCAAGGCTACTCGGACACGTGGAGTTCGTGCTCCAGCTTCTCAATTGAGCGTTGGCTCTGTCAAAAGCACAAAAAAACAAATAAGAAACAAGTAAAGCAACAACCAAGAGACAAAAAGGGAAGAAGTCTCAAAGAAAAACTTACCGCGTCCAGCAAGTGTGTGAGCTCCAAAGCAGTCAGCCGCTACCCGGTGAGTTCGCGGATCGAGAAAGTGGTCGGACGAGGAGGCACAAATATCAGCGCCGACTACGAGGAGATGCTCATTGCCTTCGGCGAGCTCGGTGCAGCAGGGACCTGAGTCGCAGCTAGCGCATTCCTGGATGTCCTAGTAGTCTCCAGGTATTCAGAGGCATCCGCCTCCCTCAAAGACTCGCTGCTGGATGAGGAATA